AGATTAAATTTTCCATTTCCTTGATCCACAAGATTTCGGGTGTACCTGAAAAGAATGTATTCAGAAGTTTGAATATGGTTGATGAAACAATCACTGGGAAAAATAAGTTGTCACAAAGTACCATTCACTTACAGATATTATTATTTCTGCCTCTAAGCAACTTTGAATGTGGTTTTCTTAACAGAAACCCAACACCAATGAAAAAATATTTTTTCACAGTTCATTTTGGACATTTTTTTGTATTCTGAATCACCACATTTACAGCTACTCAGTTTTAATTAATGTCATGGAAAAGCAAATTCCTTTATTCTCTGTGTGACTGCCTCAAACTGATAAAAAAAGAATAAGTTTCTCTCAGAAGGTTGCAAAGTGTATTAGTGCTCTAGGCAAGAATGTTGCTATTGTTTTGTTTTGTATCCCCACCTCCTCCTAGCTAAACCAGAACTTGAGAAACAAGGTTTTATTAAACGGCTGTTACAGAATTCTCCTTAGTTTTACTATAGCCTAGACACAAACCACATTCAAAAGTACCCCTAATGAAAAGTCCTCCACAAATAGGGTGGGGGTTGACCTAAGTACCAGAACATAGGAAGTAACTAAACCTTTTACAATGAGGAGAAAACAGTAATTAGTAAAAAAAAAAAAAAAAATCCTGAACCCAAACAATCACACCATCAGAAGAAAAAAAAAAACTTTAAATTTTCTATTGGACCAAGAGGTACTATTGACATCTAATTAGAAAGCTTGATAATTATGACATTCATTTAGAGCATCACTTTTAAGGAAAGCAATCTTTACCCAATTTTTAGGGTAATGTATGTGTTCACATGGTTATCTGTCCACTTAGGTCCTGCATGCCCCTTTCCTTCCCTCTCCTCTTTTCCCCCAGGCTGGAGGCCAGGTGTAGGCAGAGCAGGGTGATTGACAGAGTTGATTAGTAAAAGCTTTTTAGATGTCAGTTATCCTCACTGAGTAGCCCCTTATGACCTAGCAAGGGGCTGTGCACATGGCCTTTAATTCCCAGGAAACTCGGTTCCTGTATTAGGATCCTACTTCTCCCTCCACCAGTATTGCCATCATTCCTCTTGCTTCTCTGGGGTTTCTTCCAGAGAATTCACTGTGTGGCTCACACTGGAACATTTTCTGTCTTGGTTCTTCTGCATTGACCTTCCCAAGGTCAGAGATTAGAATCTTTCACAGTGCTAGGACACCTATTATACGCAAATTGAATTGATTTCTGCTCTCTCTTCTCCCTCTCTCCTCTCCCAACTGCCCACTCAGGACTGCATCTATTATCTTAATGAGCTGTACCTCAGATACCTGTGGAAAAGATCAGTCCAAGTGGTTGCATTTCAAATGGTTCAGAGCTTGTCAATCAAGATGAATTTAAGGCCCCTGAAAATGCCCTTGTTCTAAAGATTAAGAGCCCTTACAGGCTACTCTGGTTAATTAAAATTTCACTTGGTCAATAGTATCTCTAGGTAGAAGAAAACTATTATTGTATTATGCACCATATGTCTGCAAGAAGTTTAGTAGTGGTTTAGAACGTGGGCTCTGGAACAACGCTAATTTGAATCCTGGAGCCACTATGTGACAGAAGTACGACCTTGTGCAGGTTATCCAACCTTTTTATTGCCTACCATTGATTCCTCACCTGTAAAACGGGGATAAGAATGGTACCTATCTCTTAGGGCTGTGGTGAGGTAATGAGTTCATACATGTGTAGTGTGACTGGAAGAGTCTCTGACTCACAACAATCCCTCAGTTAACTTGGAACTAATGGCACAATTAAAAACTAGACGCTGGTAGCTTTATTAGCAGCCACAGAAGGGCTTTACTATGAACTGAGTTGATAGGAAACAAGGGAATTTCCTAGAGCTATCTATAAGTGAAAAATGGGATGCTAAGTAGGCTTTTTTGTTTCAAATCCTAAAAACCAGCCCTTGCCAACAAAACGTTACCAAACACGCTATGTATGTTTAGTGAAGCGATTAACAGAAACTGCCCCCAAGGAAAAGTTAATCTTTTGTTATTCTTCTCTTTCAACTACCCTCAACCCTACTAACCCTAAGAGACTGAGGCGCTAGCTACCCTTTGGGAAAAGGACCTGTCACCCTTCAGGGTGATTAAATTTTACTTCTGGCCCCAGGGGATTGGTAGAGATTCATTTTTACTTAATCATCAAGCCGGGGCTGCAAAGGACCCGGCCTCCCAAGGCATCTCACTCCAGCACAGCTGGGAAACAGAGGTCTTCAATTCACATTCCAAATCCTCAGAACTAAGGAGAGAAAGTAATATTGCTTGGGGGCTGCAAGATAGGCATTCGTTTAATTTGCGAACCTGATAGTGGGTTGAAATAAAACCTCGGTTCGAGAAATTAAATTGGTTTGGGAGAGGGGGCACCACAAATTGAAAAAGAGCAGTTGACAACCTCAAGACTCAAAAAATGCCTGTTGGCAGGTGCCCGGCTGTAGGCGACCGAGGGCGAAATGATGGATAATTGGCATCTGGGACCTGTGTCCTCCATCATTACCCCTTTCGCCAGATGGCTGACGTAGCTCTCTCCTGAGAGCACCCTCCGTTAGTCCAGCCAGTCTGTTCCTCAGGGCGGCAGGCGGATAAAGCCTGTGGGCACTGATCCCGAGCTCTAGGGCAGAAGGAGTGGAGGTTTCGAAGCGGAGGTGGAGGCGTGAGAATAGAAAACTGTAGCTGCGCCGTGAGCCCCGTAGGATCTACCTTCTGCCCAAAGCGGGGAGGGCGAGCCCCGCAACCCGCGGAGGAGGCGCAGCACTGGGGTGCGCCCAAGACCCTGGGGCGCTGGGAGCGTGGGCGCGGCAGGCGCTGCGAGGCCCGGGCTCTCCCGGAGCAAGCCCCCTCCCCCACCTTCCTCACCCCTCCCCTTACGCCCTCTCCTCCTTGGACTCCGAGAGTCGGTGCCGCTGGGCTTTGAGGCCCGCGCCGGAGATCCTCGGCGGCCGGGCTGGAGCGCGCTCACCTGTACGGGTCGTACTTGGCGTACACTTCCCACTCGGCGGGGTCGCTCTCGTAGGCTTCCATGACGGCCTGCACCTCCTCCACATTGACCTCCTCGCCGGCGAAGAGCTGGTGCAGGATGCGGATCAGATCGGCCAGGGTCCGTGGCTTTAGCACCTCGGTCTGCTCCATCCCTCGCGGAGGTGGCGCGGCGCCCTTCTCACAGCTGGGCTTGAGCGGGGTGCTGAGCGAGCCGAGGAACCGAGGACGAGGGACCCTAGCTGCCAGCTAAACACACAAAACCCTCAAACGCTTGAGACCCACCGCTTAAAGGGTCCCTAGCCCAGGTGTCAAGATACCCTCAACCCCCAAGGCAGCGTGGCGGATCTGGGCTCGCGGGAAACGCGCAGAGCACACAAATCAGGACCAAATCTGCTGGGTTTAGCCTCCCGGGCCCCTTTTAAGCTCTCAGAGTCAGCGGGAATGTACCAATGGCCCTGGGAGGGTGGGGAGAGGCGGGGTGGGACCTGAAGAAGGTGGCGGCCGAGGCAAGAGCGTGCGGGCAAGGCCCACGCACTTGGCGCCAACCCTCTGAGCGCTCCAGCCCTCGCGGGAGTCCTTCCCTCCCGAGTCCCGGCACTCGCAGGGCGCTTCGCGCAATCTCTCCCCCGCCCTAGCAGGGAGCATTTTGGCAGCCCATCCCAACCTCTCTCGCCGCGCCCCCCGCCGCCGCTCCCGTTGGTCCTTTGTGCCGCAGGGGCTCACGACGCGGGGACGCAGACCGCAGGGGTCGGGAGAAGACGGCTGGGGCTGGACGATCAGGAAGAAAGGGAACCCTGTCTTTCAAACAGAGCTGAGGAATTGTGAAGAGCTTGGAAGGTTGAGGATGGATTCCACTCCCAAGATGGAGAGCTACTGTTTTAGTCGATAGAAACTGTGGATAATATGCTCCAGGATAGGTGAAAATAAGTGTCTTCTTTTAAAAAAACCTTAAATGTACTGGACTGGAAGTACGTTTTGACAAAGGAGACTCGGATCACAAGCAAGACTAGTGAAACGATGGAAAGCTGGTGTCCCTCTTTGATTTTAAAATTAGACATTTCCCCAAAAAATATTCAGTGCAAAAACCTGATGTTTCAGCTCATGGTGAAAAGACATGCTGGCTTTATGGATCCCAGATATGCAGTAATTTAAAGGGTTCTAATTAGGCTAAATTCTTCAATTCTAGACATGTGCTTGAAGGAGCCTACTGTTAATACACGTCAAGAAACACATTTCTATGTTGTGCATAGCACTTAGCATGCTTGGAGAACAATGCAAATTATGAATGAAAGTAAGAAAAATGTGAGGGACATAAGAAATGCAAGTATGGATTCCTTTTCATAAATGGACCCAAGGAATAATTTGGATTAAGGTTACTAAAGGTCTAGATTTTAGGAAGATTTTTTCTAGACTTTGCTTGAAGTCCATTGAATAGACTCGGAATATTGAATATTCCGAAAATGCCAAAAAAGTGTATACACCTGACTTGTATTCATCTTTTATTGGTATATATTAAAAATTTTTTCCCTCTCTTTAAAAGTATACATTTTTTTGGCACCCTGTGTGTAATGTACATATTTACATTTACTTGTGCCACATGAAGTCTTTCAAACATCCCTAGTTAAACTGAAGTATTCAAACAATGCTGTTAGGAAGTAAAAATGTCAGCTCCCTCACCATTGTTCAAAAAAGGCTTTGGGTAAGAAAGCAGACCAGAAGCCAACTTTTTGTGATGTGTTCCAAGGAGAGGCTCTATTAGAAGAATACCTGGATCTAGAGAGACTGTTGTTCTGCATTGCCCAGGGCAATGATTTACACATTTTTAAGACATTGATATGGGGTTGATAGTGTCTTTGCCTCAACCCAGTGTTGCGCCTCCGAAGCTCACCCTTTGGGCTGAAGGTAGATCCTGCTTTTGTTTTGACATGGATGGTATCATCAGATAGGCATTGTATCATCTCACATCATTACAAGATAACAGTATATTTCGAGACAAACACGTAACTTTTATTACAGTATGTTGTAACTTTAAATCTTACTGTACCTTATATAAACTTTATCATAGGTATGCATGTATAGAAAAAAAGTTATCTATAGGATTCAGTACTATCCAGTTTCAGGGATCCATGGGAGTGGGGGAGTGGGGGGAATGGGTCTTAGAACATATCTTCCATGGATATGTAGTCTGTAGTTGATTTCCCTGGCACCAAAAGCTTACCCAGTATATTATAATCCTTGGAAAATAAAGCAGAAGCTGCATGAAAGGGGATTTCCATTTTCATAGCCCTTGAACACTGCACTTTCCCAATTTGTATTACACACAACTAAGCTGGCTGACTAATGCTATATAACTGAAGGCATAGTTTGTACTTCTTTCAATTTTCTAGTCTGATATTCAGATGATATTTAAGGTCCTTTCAGGATTAAAACTTCTAGGAAATAGGATTCCAGGAAGTATCCAATCTTATTTTGATTGCAGATAAACATTCTTAGCTTACCTTATACCCTAAACATGGGGAACTCTCTATGAAGTCCTTGGCATAGATACCTTCAAAGATGGAAGCGCAATATTCTAATACTCATACATACTCTGTATGTTGTGGGTCATTTTTGCACAATAAGATAAAGCATGACATTAATGACGTCTATTTTCTCAGCAACATGGAAAAACAAAATATAACCTGAGGGTTCAGGCCCCGCCAAGTTCAATTACAATTAACACAGTTTAAACCAGACATCTGCAAAAGTACTTGTGAATTATATTTTAGGTTTTTAGTCACCCAATAACTTATGAGATCCAGGCATATAAATCAATGTTGCAAAGTTAGCATAAAATGACTAATTCTTCGGGTAAGGATTAAGAAATAATAGTGTGAATATGGTTTGAAAGAGTATAAAGCCCTATATAGTCTTCAAAGTTATTAGGGGAAAAAAAACAATTAAGGTATACATATTTAGCTAACCTTAGATTTAATAAACTAGTAAGTTCTTTAAATCAAAATAGAACAATTGATGACACAATTTCAAACTCTAATAGTTTTGATTATTGAGGTAGTAAATACTCTTATCATCTGAAACCTTAGCAGTAAATATAAGTTAAACACATTTTTGCTATTTGTTAAATATATATACATATATATTCACATCCTTTAGTAAACTGCAAATGGACAAAGCTAGAGAACAGATCTTTTCCACATCCAACCTATTTGACTTGAAAATACATTTCCCAGCTTTCAACACATACACAAATTTCTTACCTAGTTTACAAGATAAATTTGCACAATTCAACCTGTATTATTTCAGTGCTAACCACTAGGTGTATTGATTTATTCACAGGAACAATGGTATAAGGGGACTTAAAGAGTTCATTCTTGGACAGAAAATGAGAACTGAGCAGAGATTTCATTACCGTAAATTGAATTGTTTCTTAGCATCCCTTAATGCTAATGTATGGCAGATCATTAACTATAAAGTACATTCTGGGATTTCAGGGACATAAGTGTAGTTCAAAGTCCTTTGACAAAGTCACACCATTCCCATTATCTTTGAAAATAAACACTTAGAATTCTTGTACACACCTTAGATCCTGTTTGGACATTCCATTCAATTTATTGGAATGCTTTTTTTAAAAAATGCTGTATTACAAATATAATACAGAATGAAGAAAAAAGTTAACTCTCACTTCAAGCAATTAGCAGTCTACTAGCATTAGTAGAAACGTACTTTTAGTCATGGCATGACATACATATAAAATCTAAGGCTATTTTTCAATTATTCTTTGAGTGTTTTTAAGTTGAAAAATGCATTACAAAGAACTCAAAGATGTTGTTACATTTACTCAAGTGCTTTTGACATTGTAAAAATAAGAGACAGAGTAACACCACAGCTATAACCACTAGGATTCAAACATCATCAAATGACAGAACTGAAAATAGCTGTATGACTCATTTGTCCAAAATTTATAAAATTCATTCCGTTTCCCAATCAAGTAATTAAAACTAAATCATGCACATTCTAAAACAGTCTTCCAGCAGTGTATCAACATACATGCTCTCTTGGCTAGATGTTCACTAGAAATTAGCAGGAACAGCTTTTTTCCTCCATTATCATCAGGCAAAGATGTAAAGGCAAACTCCTCCTTTCTGCCAGCTGGGCTGCCCTCTACTGGACGATGTAAGGTATAAAGCTAGCAGGTCAATGCAATTGTTTTATAACACAGTATAATAGAAATAGTATAAATGAAAATGTGAAAAGGCATATCCCATTAACTCAAACAAATTGAACTTTCCTGAAATAAGCACAAGGAATCCTTTGGTAAACTACGCACTGACTTTTACAGTGGGAAAAAAAATCAGCTAATTCTACAAGTAAGCCACTTCAGTCATTTAAAGAACTGGTAATAAAGCTTTGTAGCCTTGGTCTCTATCTGGAGCAAGATGTAGTAATGGATATGCTGTAATGTCAATCTTTTACGATGATTTCTGTATTAATGCAAATCGATTTTTTTGTGAGTCCATCTCTCTACAGATTTTTTAAATGCATAAACATGTGTCATAGTAGATAACACACTGAGTAGATCACATCCACAAGTCTCTTGCCACGAGTATCAAAACTTTTCAGAGCTGTTTCCTTTGTGAAGATTTAAGTTAGCAAGATCTTTTTCTCTGTAGATCATCCCCATGCCTGAGATTTGCAGTAATGTAGGACCAGTTTACCATCACTGCCAAAACACTACAAAAAGAGAAAGGCAATAAATATTTGTTATTTTTAGATAAATCCAAGAAAAAAAGTTACATGCATCATAAATATCCTTATACATGTTATCTATAAAGTTATTTCTTTCCAGAGATCAAGTTGCTATCACACACATCAGCAATCATAAATATTTAATAAAACCTGTCCTTTAAGCATTGTAGGCATGGATGGGCTTATATATTTTGATTTTGTTCATTCTCTACATCTCTCACTATGATGTATATACTGTTTTGTAGTAGTGATGCTAGTGTGCATATTATAGTGATTACTGCCATGAAAATGTAAGAATGTTGAATAAAGTCATTCTTATGTAGTCTCCTTTTAAATGTGTTGGAGGCAAATCTAGATTACTGACTATATAAACTATGTAGAAGAAACTAGGTAAAAAAGGAGACTTTACTTTCTGGGCATACTTCCAAGTCATCTTCATTCCTTAATTCTTCAATCACTGTATAATTCAGAGATATACCTATGTTCAAGGTGTTAGAGATATAACAGAAAATAGAAAGTACTCTTTTTGCTGATAGACAATTAAGAATGACATCTCTTAAAATAAAGATGTAAATTAATAATCATGCTATTCACAGATGTACATACTCTATTAAGAAAATAAAGCAGTAATGTTTTACCTCATAGAGAGTTCCAACTTCCTGGTCAGGGGAAGGGGCAAAGGACTGATTCACATAAATAAACTGCAAGAAAGAAAAATAAAAATGGCAATTTACTTTTAATAGTATCCTGATTAATCTGTACCTTTCTGGGCTCCAATCAGCCAGCTATTTCAAATTCTTTGTCTTCAGAATTGAAGAAAGCTTCTGTATACTTCCTTTCCTAATTCTCATAAATTAGTCAACTAATGAGATCTTTATGACGATCACATCTTCCCTCTGGAAGAATAAAAACAACAGAATATTTGCTCCAAGAACAGTGGTTACCAATTTATAACTAAGAGACTTTTAAATATTTTTACAAGTAGCTTTTGAAGGTTTATTCAAGAAATTATGTAAAGTATTAATTTTCCCATTTACTCATAATTAAAGGGAGAATTTTTTCTAACAAGATCTCATGCACACAGCCCTAAGTCAAATATTTGAAATAGTCTGCATTTTTCTTGGGTAAATGACATACATGGTTGGATTTTCTTGACTTTTGTCAACTTTGAAAACTCTGAAAGGTACTGAACTGTGCCACGACTATAATCACTTGTAGCCAAGACAGACAGAAAAAAATGTAACATAATTCAAACCTAATGTCCTTATGGCCTTGTTCTTTAAAAGGATTCATTGTTCAATGTTTTAGTCTGTTTTTAATATAACATTTTTAGTACAGATATCCTCTGCTTTTCAAAAATTCGTGTTAAGACCTACATTAGTACCTGTTTTCACTAACTGAAAGAAATCCAAAGAGGAGTTTTGCTTTTATGAAAGTGAAAAGTGAAACTAATGCTCAGCGTATGTTTTGTATTGAGCCATTATATGTGCAGAAGCAGAGCACACCCCAGCAGTGAGTGGCTCTGCCACACTCCTTCCCTGCAAACTACACTCAGCACCTCAACATCAATCCACCACAGCTTTAAACTGTGTCTATAAGCATCTGTGCTTTATCTTGATTTATTTTGTGCATCTGTTAGCAAGATGTATCCAAAGGTATCAGAAAGCCTAAGAGAGCTCAGCATAAAACTGGATATAATTAAACGTATTTAGTACGATTTGGTAGGTTACTTTTAGGGATCTGGGAATGCTCAAAAAGTTTCCCTTTTAAAGTAATGGTAACTGCTTCTTTGTTTTATGCCATTTTGACTTAGGAAAGGTTTCAGAGAAATGCTCTCTACTTTTGGATAGTGAGGGAAACCTGTACTTATAAAAAAAAAATTCCTTAAGATACTGAAACAAAAGGTCAGTGTCATTTAAAATATTAACCTTACAACTGCTTACCATTAAGTGTTGAACATGTACTATAATACGAAATAAGTATATATATTTTAGTTCTTCGACAGCATAGGGCAAAGATATATTGCTTACCTCAACAGGAGTGGAAAGGAAGCAACACTGATAGCAAAACAAATTTTAAAACCCAGAACTTTCCGTATTAATGTTCTATGATAGATCTTTCTGCATGGACATTCACAGTGACTTTTTGAGGAAAAAAACCAATACAGTATGGGGGAAAAAAAAATCAGTTCATATTGTAAAAGCAAATCTAAAAATTCATTTCCTTTTAGGGTTCCCCAGAGAATCCTTCAATAAAGTACAGAAATTCCACCAACAAAAGAAATAGAAGTGGGCCGGTGGAGTGGCGCGATGGTTAAGAACTGGCTTGGGACGCCAGAGGGCCCTGGTTCGGATCCCACATATGAGGGCCAGTGACACTGCCCTCCACAGCTAAGAGGCTGAACAACAGCTCAACCTGGAGCTGGGCTGCCGTGAGTCGCTGGCGACGGTGTAGACTGCAGTCCCTGTGGCAGTGGGTTGCCATGGGCTACTGTATGTAGCCAGCAGCCAGCGTGAGCGGCCAGCAGCCGCAGTAAGCAGCCGTCCAGAAGCCGGCGACTGATCTGCCTCGCCCGGGAAGTGCGCAATGATGGTGCCAACTTGGGCCAATGAAGCAACGTCCTCCACAACTAGACTGAAGAACAAAACAACAGCAACTTGTCTGCTCCCCATCCCCCAATTCCCCAGCACTGTTCCCATCCCAATTCCCCAATAAAAAAAAAATAAATAAAAAAATAAAAGTAACTGAAAGTAACATGTGGATCCAATAATTACTCATTGTTGCCTAGGAACTATTGTGAATTTTTGTAAGAAAATATTCACCATCGGTTTCATACCAACTGTTCTGAAGCCACAAGTTTAAGGAACTTTTTGATGAAGTCAATGAGTCCTTGGATGGTTCGGGTTCTCTCTACAGCCCATTTCTTTGTTTTCATTATAGGGGTGTCTCCCACTGCTTTTAGCAGGATGTCAACTGTAAAAGGAAAAAAATTCACAATTACACTGAAACATCAAAAGTGAATGTGATACAAAGGATTTTATAAAACTTAAACCTGTAATCTACATGTAGTTTATGTATTTATGATACTGGAGGTATGTCTGAGATGTACGAACAGTAAGATTCTTTTTCGTCATGTTTTGGTTTTTTTTCTCTTGATTCTCCAGTTCCACAAAGGTTTCCCCATGAAAAGAATTTAAAAAATTCATTTTAATGTAATAGGCAATTCCAAAAAGAAATATAAATGGTCAATAAAGATACGGAAAAAAAATGTCATGGCCTTTTTCATCTACCAAATTAGTAAAGATTAGAATAATACTGTAGCTGATACTACTGTTGGGAATACAAAATGGTACACCCTTTCTGGAGAACAATATAATACATTACCAAATACTTAGAGATATACTTTGGCTCAATAATAATAATTCTAGGAATCTAGTCTAAGAAAATATGAGACGTAAAATGATTCACTTAGAAGGATTTCACCTTTGTTGAAGTATTTATTTTATAGAAAAAAACTGGTAAACCTAAATATCTAACAGGATATTAAGAGGGGCTAGGTTAAATAAAGTATATTATATTCTAAGATACAATGTATGTAATGCAGCAAAGAACACACACTCTAAAGTCCCTGGGTTCAAAATCCTGGCTCTGTGCCACTTGCTAGGTACATATATCTAGATAAGCTCTTTAATCTCTCTGTGCCAGTTTCTCTATTTATAAAATGATAATAGCATCTACCTCAAAAGGTGATTTGAGTATTAAATGAGTTAATACATGTAAAGTGTTTAGAACAGTATCAGCTTATAACTCAGTTATTGAACCTTAAGATTAAGCTTCCATTAAAGAACACATATAAAAATATATTTAACAGTATGAAAAAGTTATCAAAATGTACTAAATATAAAACAAAACAGCATGTATAACTTCAATTTCATTAAAACCATGAGCATATTCATATAAATGTGGAATATGTACCAAAATGCTATTTCTCAGTAGTGACATTATAGGTGATTATTACTCGGTTTTATTTGTGCTTTTTGTAACCACCAAGTTTTCTACATAACCTCTTTAATAAAGGAAAACAAAAATTTTTAGAAAGAAAATACAACTAGGGGCCAAAGTTTTCAGTTAGAGAAATTACTTAATAATACAAAATACAAAGATGCAAACCCAAACTATGAATGTCTCCTGAAGTTACTTTGCTTAAAAAAAAAAAAAAGTAACAACGAAAGCAAAATAGTGTACTGCTGCCCCCTAAAGTTAATTCTATTCTATTACATCTCTGTTGTCCCATTCTTTTATCAAAAATTGGGACCCAACAGGGTCACTGAGATCAATTTGTTCAAGTTTACCCTTGGAATAAAGGCACATAGAACACATGATGCACAAAGTCATTCTTCCTGCTAAAGTTTATCTTTCTTCCTCCACGTAATAATTCTAGCTTCAGTTATCTAGGGAATAGTGGTGAATTGAGAGATAACTGGGGATTTTGAATAACTCTCCTTCTGTGCTCCCTTAATCCACTGGGGCTATCAATAATTCAGTTGCAATTGAGCATTTCAAGAAAGTGAAGCAGAAAATATTATGAATTGTACTACTAAAGGAAGAAAACTGGGAAGATAAGCTAGAGAAGAAAACATTTATTGTAATTATAACTGTACTACTTAAAAAAATTTCTAAAGATGATTTGCTTGTAGGTCTCAACCCTAGCTACGCATTACTCAACTGGGGGAACATTTACAAGAATACTGGTGTTCACATAAATTAAACCAAAATCTTTTAAAATTAGGGCCTTGGCATTGGTATGTTCAAAAGCTTCTCCAGCCAGGTGATCCTAAGGCGATCCTAATGTTGGCCAGGCCCAACAACCTCCGTCTGGCAGATTACACCAGAAGTGGAGCATACGAAACAGTTAAGCTTCTTTCATCAGAAAAGGTCCTCAAAAAAGAATGACAATTTTTGGGTAGAAATTCAATAGCTAGAAACTAAGTTTTATATCAGAGAGGAAAACTCAAATGCTCAGGGGAGCCAGGAAACAAAGATCCAATTTTCAAATGATGATTTTTAAAAAATATACTGTGCAGATCAAAGAAAACATGCCATATATAACCTCAAGCCATATCCCAGTAGTGGCTCATTATTTTTTAGCCACTGTTTTACAAAGCTATCTTCAGGGTTAAGTAGTAAGCTTTTGATTAAGAATGCTACAGCTTACAACAAACCTTTTGAAAGTCTGTTCCTATGTATAGTAAAATGGAAGGAAAAAAGCAACAAAAATCTGTAAAATTCATAGAATTCTCCTGAAGAAAGATTCTAGTGGTTATCTATAAAAATAATCAAAGGTTTCTGTTTTTCTGCTAGTGCATCACATGGAAATGACAGGATAGATTTCCCCCAAAGTAACGGGCAGTCTGACTTAAAAGGGGGACAGTACTGAGACAATTATTCTCCATAGCAGTAGGAACTGAAGTTAGACGAACGCCCGCGAGATCACTGAGCAGAAAACAAGCCATGCCTACACTAAGACGGGGGACTGAGAAAGCCTGAGGCCCAGGGTCATTTTCTTCGAATTGTAGATGTTGACTTGTTGCTTTTCTCAGAGGTAATTCTATACACAGTGCTCCAGGACAAGTAAATTTAGGAATTTCTTTATTTTACAATGGTTAACTAATTCTCAAGCAATAAAGGGTTGATGACAGGTAGTTCAAACAATGAAATGACTCGCTTACAAAGGTCCCAAAATGGTTTAAAAAAAAAAAAGCGATGCCTGTGCTTCAAGGAGTGAATTTACATGCAATTGAGAGATTAAAAAGCGAATTAGTCGGAAGGCGTGGATTCTAATCCAGACTTGCCACCGACCACCTCGATCATCTTAAATCATTATTCAAAGAATTAGCTACCGTGTTAAACACCTGGAGTTACCGAGATCCCACTCAGCTCCCACCTTCAAAGAGCTCGCGTGGTCCAGCCAACTCAATGCAAGTTTAGAGTGCAGTGTCTTAATACCGCAGCCAAGTACTGGATACCATACTGCGAAAGTGCGTCCAGAGGCACTCAACTTAAAGGTCTCGAAAGCCAAAAAAATACACTTCCTCTCTCCTGACTGGTCAAAAACCACGTCTGGGACAGGCCCTCCTCTAAATTTTGCTTCTTTATTGGCCGCGATCTCTAGTGAGAAGCAATCTAAAACATCCCGCCTCTGCCCAGAAAGAAAATGCTCTCAAAATTACTTTTCTTCTTGGTGTCGCCGGCAGGTTCCTCTGTTCCTGGAGAGACTGCAGCGGAAGAAGGGGGCTCCGGAGTGGCTGTTCCTGGGGAGCTCTCCGTAGGTGCTTCGCCGTCAGCTGCAGCTGAGGGAGCCAGCGGCAAGACGGACTCCGGCTCCTCAGCCATCTTGCTCCGTGGGAGGCGAGAGCGGAAGTACCAGTGGGCGGGCTTTGCGCCGGGGCGCTTGGCTAAGGAGGCGCCGGAGCAGGAGGACCCAGCCGAACAGTGAGAGTTGGAGATGCAGACCAGTCCTCTTACGTTAAACCTGTTGCAGACCCCTGACCATTAAGATCGCTACTGTTTTCCCAAAGCAACGAGCCTTGGAAAGGAGACGGTGGGCCAGGTCACCGCGTGCACGCGGAGTGCGCAGGCGCCTCTCTGGCAAGTGGGCTGCGGCCTGGAGTGTTTCCGCTTCCGTCCGCACCAGCCCCGCCCAGGCCCCGCCCTGTCCAGGGCCCGCCCCGAGACACGGGAGCGCGCGCGCGCGTGTGAGAGGGGGCGGGTGGGGAAGGATCGCCGGTGAGATCCCAAGGCGAGGCTCGTGCGCCCGCCCCCACCCTGGCCCCCATCGCCCACCCGGTCAGCCCGGCTCAGCCATGATCAAGGCGATCCTCATTTTCAACAACCACGGGAAGCCGCGGCTCTCCAAGTTCTACCAGCCTTATGTGAGTATCCCGCCGCCGCGGAGCCGGGCGAGTGGGACTCGTTGGCTGCAGGCAGCGCCCTGAGGGCGACCCCCTGAAGCGCGCCGCGGCCCTTCTCGCGCCACGGCCGTCTCGCGCTCCGGGGCTGTCAGCCTCCCAGTGGGTGTGAGCAAGGTGCCCACCCTCCGCTGCGCTCCTATCCTCCGACGTGGCTGTCTCTGCCTAGGCGGCTCCTCTGCCCGTCTGTTGCCTGGGTGGTTTCCCGGCTGCGCGGGCGAGGCCCTGGAGACTTTCCGGTGCGGGGCCCTCGCCTGTCGGGCAGCCGCAGCCCACCTGCGCCCGCGAGCCCACAGGCGCTCCTGCCTTCCTGCCGCCCGTGGCTTCTGTTATCCTCTGAGGAAGACAGAGCGGAGCTAGTTGGTCTCGCAGCCCCACCTCCCTGACTCTCAGCCTTTTCCAGTTGGACTTCTTTCTCTTCCCCTATGGACAGATGGGCTTCTGTTTTTCTCTATAATCCTCTCATCGCGCAGGAACTTTGGCTTCCTGCGCTTTGATGATAACTGTACGCTCTGTACAGTCAGTCTCTCCTGTATGTTGATTCGTGACAGACTGCCCAGTTTGACTTTCAGGTGTCTCCTTGTTAAAGAAAAAGATAAATGAGGACCTAACATTTTTATTGGGCTTTTTACCTTAGTGGCTGTAAATTATTTACTCTCGCAATACCTGGAGACGTTTGTAGTTGACTGGCTAAAACTGTGATTCTGTACTTGAAAGTTAACGATTTCAGCTGCTGGTTTTGCATTTTTCTACATAAGGGGATTCGCCCTAATTTATAGTTTTTCTTTTACTTATCAAGAATAGTAATATTTGTAAACTTTTGGAAGTGTAAATATTGTTTTAAAATGTGGGAGATTTTAAGGTAGCAAAGATAAGTAATTTATTGATCGAGGGAGGTTTATACACATGTGCCTATCTGAGGGCAAAATTCATTAGGTAAAACAAAATGGGCTCTCATTGGTAGGATTAACATAGAGATAATAACTATTGGGTAGTATTGGGGCATTTTGCTTATAGCCAGAAATGAACTTTCATTTAAACATTGAAATTGTGCCAAGGCTAACACTTTTGTGGAGATTAATCCCAGATAGAAATCATTCCTGCCATTAAAAATTAAATGTGAATATGTCACTTTGCCTAAAATGATAATGCAGCCTGTGGAGGTGTTAGCTGAAGTGAGAAATCTTGAGCTTATTCCTCATTTCCTTAAGTGGTTTTGTTTTTCCTAGCGACAAAGAATAGAGTGTAATTTAAATGCTTATGCTCTATTTAAGAATTCTGCATCATTCCTTAGTCCAGGATAAAATTTCCAGTTGATCTTGAGTAAAAAAACAGCCCTTAACTTTACATTGTTACCCATTTGCCTGAAATATAATACTATCCTTTATTGAAGGAACTTTCTCTTAACCAGTTTGCCTGTGCCATCCATTTTCAGTATAGAAAAAGTATGATCCAATAATGAAACAGGATTCAAAAATTTGTTTTTCCATGTCTACGCTTAATAATTAGGCAATCTTAAAAATGGTAGGTTTCTTGGCTAATCTATAATATTAATATAACTACTCTTATAGTATAGAATATAACCATCTACAGAAAAATGAGTTTCATCTAGAAATCCAGAAATACATCTTTCTCTTGTCTAACAATGGGAACAGAATATGATTTACCTTTACCCAATAGGTAGCAGTGAATGTTACTGTGGGAAGAGAGGCAGTTCTAGAAACAGTGGCAGCTCTGGTGTCGTATTTGGCCATTGTGTAAGTGACAGTGTTGCTGGAGGCAGGGAGCTAAGATGTGTATGAAGAAGAATCTAGTGGTTACTGGCCATGTAGAAGTGGGGATGCCAGAAGCTGTTTCTGTGTATTAGTCTTTTATAAATTGGGTTTTGCCAGCTGTATATTTATTTTTGTCATTCAGGAATAATTGAATATTACACACACACACGCACGCACGCACGCGCGCGCCACACACACACACACACCACTCACCACACTTACTTCCTCCAGTAGACCATAACCTATTTGAGGGCAGAAATCTATTTCACTCATTCATTGCATCAGTCAGTTTGTCAACAAATATTTATTTCCTGTCTACCATGTGCAGGCAGTGTTTTAAAATCTGAAGATGAACAGATAACTTCTGCTCTTTTGGTAGGAGGATACACAAAGCTACTAAGAAGTAGAATATATAGCATGTCAGATAGTAATAAGTGCTGTGGGAAAATAAAACAGGGAAGGGTGATAGGCAGTGAAGGTAAGTTTTCGCTGAGAAGGTGACATTTGAACAAAGACTTAAGGAGTTAAGAAAGCCAGCCTTGCATTTCTGGGGGAAGATCATTCCAGGTGGAGGGAGCAGCAGATGCAAAGGCCCTGCGGAAGAAATGCTTGTTTGAAGAACACCAAGAAGAGTGGCATGGCAAGAGCAGAATATGTGTTTGTATAGGGTGTCAGTTTTTTCTGTTCTCACTGCTGGGAATGCCCTTTTGTCCATTTTGCCAAATGTCTAGATTTGACCCCTTGTTCTAGGCTGAACTCAAACATCACTTAAGCATTGTCTGAAGCCTTTTATCTTGCTGAAAGACTCCTTGTTCTTAGGATTTTATTTTTATCTTTACTATGATATAATATTCTGTTTCACAGCTTATAATTCCTTTGGGACATCCTACAGATTACTTGAGGGAAAGGTATCAGGTTTTAGATTTGTGTCATCCCCAGTAATCAACATTGAGTCTGGAATATACAAAACTCTCAATAAATCTTTGCTAAATGTATTTATTAGTTTCTCGTAGCTTGGGGCAGAGTTTCGGATAGAAGTGACCTTCTAAGATTCCTTCTAACTCTTAAAATTTAGTCCTTCATTAACTAGAGAGTTTAAGAATCCATGCCTTTAGGACAGAAGTAATGATGGGATAGTTGTTATTTCAACTGCTTCTGTTTTAAGTTGAAAGAAATCTCTAAGAAGTATATATCCAATAAAATTGACAGTTTTCAGTATAATCTATTAAGCAACATTTAGGGATGTGGTTGAGTTAACAGTTTCATATCCTCATAGAATGCTGAGTCCAATAATAATGTTTTACACTAAGCATTTTGAAAAGTGCTTAACCATTTGCCAACCAGCTGCTTCTACTGCATTGGAATTCCATTCCTTATTTATCTTCCCTCACATAACAATTTTATGTTCATCTTTACCATTTAATAGTGCAGATTTCCATTTCCTGCTGTAATAGATTTTTAAATTTGTGCCTCCAAGCTGCTGTTACGTGTGAGACATATGAAGTCACACACCTATTTTGCTAAACTGAAGTTTTTGGTCCATTCTGCTAGACTCAGACTTTAAGAATTCAAAGATGGACTAAAAATGCATCCTTTTTTGTTTTGCCTTCTATATCCTTGAGCTGTGATTGCACATATTCAAATATTTTTCTCCTTTTGTCTCTTCAAATTGATGCTTAGCCACAGCAGCTTGACAGCAATAAATTTTAGTCTTTTAATATTTGCTTGGCAAATATTATGTGTCTTTTTATAAATGACTAATGAGACATATTTTTTAAATCAAATATATTTTTACATAGCTATCAAACAAGAAAATAAAAATATAACCTTGAGTTATGATTCCTGTGTTATTAATGAAGCATTGCATATCCTTTGGTAAATAACTTTAATAATGTAAAAAATATTTTTCATATGAATTATCTTAGTTGTTTCTACAGCTTTAAAAGATTGTGTGTATACTTGTGGGTAAGCTTACACACAAACACAAGTGTAAACAAAAGTTTTCAAACTGTTACATTCACAAGCTGCCTCAATTTTCTTATAAACTGTATGTGATTGTTAAGTTGTTTGTCAACCACATGCAGGTCCTAGAAGGAACCCTAAGATTTTGCTTTTTTTTTTTTTTAATTTGTTACATAAAGTATTGAAAATATGTATAACTTTTGTTTTCCTTTTAAAAAATCCTTAAGAAAGACTCATCCATATTTATTGATGTCTTTTTTTAGTGACTGTTAAAAGAGTGTGGCAGATGGGAGAGTTAAACTTATGATCAAGATAGAATTGTCAGCAATTCTAAGAATTAAGGTGTTAACACATTATATTAACACATAGTATTTGAGCTGTTTTGTTAAGAAGATAATTCTAAGTGATTTGTGTTCTTTCCGCATTGGTTAGGATGCCTTTGGATACATAAATTGGGTTTTATGTAGCCTGATTCAAATTTCTTTTTTAAAAACTGTTAGGATACATAATAAGCAGTGCAGAGTAATAGATAGATTCCAAAATTATTTGATTCAGCAAATCAATGACTTCATCATAGGTTCAGTTTCTTTCTCTTCCTCTGCCTTGCTCTTCACAAAGTTGATATCCAAAGTCTGATTTCCTTCTTGAAATCAGTGGTCATCGATTAAATCCATAAGGAGAGAGTGATCTGTTCCTGCATTCCTGGAATATGTCTTTCCCTTCAGTCTGGTTAATCCTACCCAGAACTAATAATAGCTTACACTAATCAGGCTCTACCCTTGGAGCTGAGGATGAGGATGGAAATATGAATAAAATTGGTGTTCTGTTTGAAAGGTGGAAGAGAGGATAGGCAAACAGATGTTGGGTAGGCAAACAGGTGTGCACTATTCTCTCTGTATTAGCTCATGTTATTACTTTTAAATAGATACTAATTTTTCTCCTCTGTAATTTTAGGTTGCTTATGAGGTTGGTAATATTAGGAATGGTTCCTGAAAATATGTGGCTCTGAACATGTCACACACAAGATCTTACTTAGTTCAGCGCACTTCTAACATCAAAGGATCATTGAAAAATTCCACTCTAGTATCACAATTATTGTAGGTAGTATGCTTGAAGACTTGCTTTTTAAAAAATTAAGATTAAACCTGTTGAAAGTTAAAGGAGGAAATGAAATGTTTAATTACAGTGATTTTTGGTTTTAGGGGAAAGGTTATAAATTGGGCCATG